TTCTCAATGGCGTGGTCTCTGAGCAGGTCAAAGTAACTAAAAATAATTAAGTAAATAAAAATAACAGTAACCCACCAACAAAAATGAATAATACTAACGATAAGTTAGACAAAAAGGCACCTCGCTCGGATGAACGAGTGTACAGGGAAAGAAAAATGAAAGAAAATACTAATATGGATATCAGTAAATATGAATAAAAATAAAACTGAAAGACAGACAAGGATGAGAAACGAGGGAGAGAGAGAGAGAGAGAGAGAGAGAGAGAGAATAGCAAAACCTATGGGCATGTCTAAAATGTTCGTTTTATAGTCCTGTAGTGGGCTAAGTTTAGACTAGGTTTTACATGCTATTTACACTTGGTGGTGAGTGAAAGGCATTCAGATGAAGGTCGCCAGAGCGTGCTATCTGACTAGACTTTCCCCAACTCCTACTGCAGTCGCTATCAGATCACTTGCCTATAATGTAACTCGGTTGTGAACTCACACAGCGTAGGCTTTTAGCACAATACGTAGCACTCAAGAAAGTCACTGACCGCCTGGCATGAAAGGGACCATCAAAAGGGAAGAAAAATTATGCCTATTAATGATAATAATAGAGAGATTAAAGGCTATTCCCCAAATAGCCAAACCAACAAAATTAAAATTAAACATGACCTAAGTTTAGAATAGATTATTGGGAACTTGATTAAAAATCAAGTAATAACAAAATAAACTGGACAACGGTATTAAAATGAAAAAGACAGAAGGCAGAAAATTAATAAAAAAATTGAAAGTAACAAAATAATTCATAATACCAAAAGAAATAAAAACAGACCAATAATCTATACTCAGATAACTAAACTATTGTTTGGATAAAATGATAACAGGGAAAATAAAATGCTTAATCGAAATTAAAACAAATTAACTCCAAACTGTTTGACCATTTCAGACCACTTGAGACACAATGGTGGGCGGAACTGATGTGAGGAGAGCAGAAGGAGACAGGGGGAGATGTTTCCGAGTTGCACTTCACATTCGGTTAGCCTTGTGCTAAAGTTTGTTAGTTACAAAATGTGAAGGGTTGGTTTGCTTAAGCATTAACGTTAGCTGGCGTTAGCCGCTAGCAAGTTGTTACGAGTTACGCTTCGCATCCGGTTAGCCTTGTGCTAACAGTTTGGTAATATTAAGACGCGAAGGGTTAGTTTACTTAGGCTAGTCGTTAGAAGCTAGCGAGTGGTTTTGCCCTGTGAAGTAAACCGCGTCACCAACTCTGCCTCCTGAAAGGCGGATCTTATGCTTTGGGGTGGTGACTACGTCATTCACGCATGCGTGCGCGCGCACGAGTTACGTGGACGAGGAGTCAATGAGCGCTCGAAGAGCCGATTTATGAATGGGAGGAGTTCTCATTCATAACTTGGTATGCGGCTGACTTCCACGAAGGCAAAGCGCGAACCACTAAGATTCGCACAAGCGGTCATTATATATCATGTTGCCGTAACATTGATAATAATATTCGACCATTACAATTAGACAAACAAACATAAAATGCGAGACGTCTCTCGAGGCGGTGCACGTTTGTACACAGATTTGGTCCGGACGAACATAACTGAAATATGGGAATTCACATCCATATCAGATTTTGGTACCATTTAAAAACACGCTTATGGTTCTGAGAATTCCTTTCGTCAGAAAGCGGTTAACAGGCAAGCTTGCAGCTCCCGAAATACATTAATTTAGAACCGTCCAGCAGTTCTGAAATTAATTTCGCACGGCGGCGAAGCAAAGAGGTTAAACGTTAGGCAGCTAATCTAACAGTTTGAAACCACGGGAGAAATAGTCTAGAGGTTTTCTAGCTATAAAGGCCTTTTAAACGGACAGGTTTGGGGTTTCTAAACTGTCTTACAAGCGCTGAGAGAGGTGTCTTTTCCTCCGACAGGCACACTAATATATTTAAATGATTTGCAGAACGTGCGTCTCAGCAAAATCGATTCAAAATATATATGAACTGCAGTTTAAATTGTTACACTCTACACGGGCAGCTCTCTGCTGTGTTTAGTGAACAGAATAGCTGGAGCAGGCTTTCCGTCCTCCCAGCTTTGAAGAAAAGGAAATGCTTCTCGCGGTCCTTTTTTTTTCTATAGCGCTTAATAAATCACAATGAATTGGAAAGTTTGTTTCACAGAAAATGTTTGGAAAACTGCCCGCATTCTCTCCACCAATATATGTAGCATGAAATTAGCTCATTTTATGAATATTAATAATCAACAATAACGGTTTATTCTTAATTATTAATATTCCGGCTTAAGCTTCAGTCAGTTTGGTCAAACAAACATATGATTGTAAATGATCATGCTCGCGCGACCGAGCGGATTCCCAGATTATGAATATTAATTATAAACAATAACGAATTATTATTAATCATTAATATTCCAGATCAATTTATTGTTAATTTGACCAAACAAACACAAGCAGAGCCGCCGCTCTTCCGAGCGGACACGGTAATCTATTCATTTAGAAAAAGGGAATTTAATTGCTACTTCTTGTGAAGTAGATTAATCATTCAAAAGTTTTAAACAACTTTTAATAGCAAGGCAGGGGAATCTGTATTTCAGTGACATTTTCTCGTGAGGCAAACAATACAATTCATTTGATTATAATGGAATTTATTGACTAGTCAGACGTAACGAACAAACAAACGCACAAACATACATTAAACACAAAACAAAGGTAAACCACGTGGAGATATCGGGTCTATAGAACGTGTAACAGCAAAGAGAAATAGTAAAGCGAGGAGATAGAGATTTTAGATTAAAGAGTGACAAAACTTTCAGTTCCACACGCACCATTACGGACCACCAAGGTTATAAAAAACACCTTTTTGATAAAAGGGGCACAGCTTAATCGCATAACTAAAATCACCTGGTCTTTCATGTCTGGCGGTCTCTCTTATGCGTCTCTCTTCCGTCGTGATGAAAACTACTCTTGATGTCCTTTGATGCGTGGAGTTTGTAATGCAGTTCGGACGAACACGATCGCAAACTTTAAACTGAATTTACTTTGCCGGAAAATAAAGAAAGCGTGGCGGGAAAAAGTCCATGCGGCTTAGAAAGCCGTGTGTGGCCCGAGGGCCACCGTCAATGATGTTCCTTTTTGGGACGTTCTCTTTCTGCCCAGATGTTTGGGGGGAAGTGTGCTTATACCTGCGGATCACGTGACAACCCGTACAGCATTCTGACAAATGATTTCAGGGGAAAGTTTGCGCGCGAACCCTTTCTTTGTCTCGAGGTCCCTCGTATGCAAATTTGAGTGTCCGCCCAAAGCATGCGGACAGGCATTTAATACAGGGGATTAAAGAATAAGGCAATGCTAGTTATGATTTTTCTCTATGCATCATGTGCTGTAAAATGTCAGCAGAAACCCATCGGTACCAAACATGGGGGGGGGGGTTGAAAGTACATTAACCTAATTTTTCATATCCTTACAATATTTATGCTTTACAAAGGCCTAAATGGAACATGCATACAGGTTATAAGAGAGGTTACACAGGTAAGAAAAGTCAGAAATTAGATACAAAGTTTACAAAACATAACACATTGGTTTTGTGCTGGTTCTGGATTTGATGAGTTCATTTTCTTTCTGTCGGAACAGCCTCGTGGGTGTGTGTGTGTGTGTGTGTGAGCGTATTTGGGCAGGAATGTCTTTGAAGCTCTCCTGCTTATCTCTCCAGTTCCCCTGAACAACTTAAGCTGTCACGAAAATCCAGACTTCTTGGAGCCAGGAGTCGTAAAACCTTCTGACCAAAGCCAGACCGTGATAAAATCAATAAGAAGTTTAATCCGTGGACTGTACGCTACAGTTTTTAAAATCGTAATAAAATGTACATTATTTGTCATGTTTTTACTTAATTTTTATGTTAATTTTACATTAAGATTGTATAATTTTTTTGTTCTGTTTTTGACAGCAGCATAGTAAATCTGCTAAAATATCACCATGCTACTCTTATACTTTTGATAACAGATGTTTCAATATAATGTTAACTTTCTTTGTAAAAGCATGCTTTAAAATTTTACTACAAATGTCATCCATAAAGTTGGAATTGCTCATACATTTACAATCTAAAAGTATATGTTAAGTATATGTTAAGTATGTTTTTTTAAAATATTAAAACATCTGTTTATATTTTCCAAAGCAACTAACCACAAAGTTAATGGAATTACAAAAATATCAATCTATAAACATTTTTCATAATTTATAGAAAAAAACAAACATGCATTATGAATGTCACCAAAAAAGTATGAAAGTTTACAGTATACAACATAGTTTGTAAAAATTCTGCAAATTTAACTGCACAATCCAAAAGAAATTATGCTAATCAAATGGATAACAGTTGGCTTACTATAGAACAAAATGAATGATTTTTATTTTATTTAACATTTTTGGATTTATGAAGAAAACGCTTGGTTATGGATGTGACGTGAAACTAGCACCTATGAAACTTTGATAAATTACATATAATTGTTTAAAAACATTGACAAAAACATGTTTAAAGATTTTTACAGTACTGTACTAAACAAACCTAAGGAAACAACATAAATATTTTTTCACTATTTTGGTAAAAACATTTTCAGGATAAGGTTGACATTTGCATGGAATTCCTTTTATATACAGTATGTCACAAAAGTGAGTACACCCTCACATTTCAGCAAACATTTATGTATATCTTTTAATAGGACATCACTGCAGAAATGAGTTTGACAATAACTGAAAGTTCTACATGGCACATCATGGCAAACCATTCTCACAACACCTGGAAAAAAAACAAACAAATTGTTGCTTTACATAAAAATGGCCTAAACTATAAAAAGATAGCCAACACTCTGAAACCGTGCTATAGCACAGTGATCAACAACATCCAGCGCTTTAAGATGACAGGTTGTTCTCAGAACAAGCCTTGCCATGGTCAGCCACAGAATTTCTTTGATGCAGTATTTACTAAAACATATCACATGAAACTTTACTTACCTGATCTCTGCTGCAGTCATTCCATATTTCCAAAAAAGCAAAAGAAACATAAATTAGTCAACTATAATGCATACTACTAATTAAAAGAGACATTTCAACATTTGTGTTGAATTGATAAAATCTTACACAATGTTAGTTAACTTCAAACATGTAAAGCAGCTATTCTAACAATCAAATAAATTGTCATCTTTCACTACAAGTCATCATCTTGTTAAATCAATGCTTACGTAATACGATATGTGTATAGTAAATATTATGGGCACAATCAATAAAAAATATCATTACAAATTATTTTGTCATCACATACTTCCTCAGTCTAAAATAACAATGCAATGCAACTATGTAACTTAGTAACTGTTAAATAGGCTTACGTACTTTATTTCAATTACACAGTAACAGTTAAACAATATCCTAACGCGATTAACACGATAACACGCATATAATCAAACACTAATCCCATAATTAATCATCACGCGATGCTATAGTGAAAATATAAACATACAAATTACCTATATTCGTTTGCATAAGGCATAAATCACTAAACGTAAAAAACTGTTCCACAAACAATCATCACCATTCATTTGTGCAAGTTCAACAAGGCCCACCGAACACTTAAATGCTTAGTGATCATTTTAACGGTGCACAGAATGGCGCGGTTACGCTTACTTTGGACACGTATTTTCATGTCAATGTTCATGAAGGCCAATTTACGTTCGCAAAACATTTTTTGAAGCCCATAAATACAACCGACAGAGACTTGACGCTTATGCAATACTTTTTTTTATCATTAAAAACTCTCAAATAATGTAAATGATCTCCTCGTTACCGTCTTTACAAAGACGCTTAACATAGGCGTCATATTGAAGAAATAACACCCCAGTTAACTCTACAAACGTATCAGTCAAAAGACAAACAGTTTAAATACCAGAAAATATAAGTGATACGAAGATATACAACACTGATTAATAAGAAAGCAAGAAATTTGCCTTACCGCTTCACAACACAAAATGGCTGAAGACTCGTTCCTGAAGGATTCGTTTATTTAGAACAAATCTTTAATTTGATTCTCCTGCCAGGTAGTGATTCTTTCCCGCATGCGCAGTAGCCTATAAACATTAAGCTACAAAAGATTTGTTTGTGTACCGAATCCTCTGATTTTTTCACTCATTCATCCTTTAACACGTGATTTTACAGGAAAACGGAAATGTAAAATTATTAGGTACAAATTAATATTACATTATGGAACAATCTGTTATTACCTATTAAAACGGCTTCTTCACTACCAAAATTTAAATCTTTGGTGAAACGCATTTCTTTGTGCTTTTGATTGTGTGTAACCTTATGTATTTTGTTTTAATATACTTTTTCTTTTTTTTTCTAAAGTTTGTACAACATTTTGGCAAGTAAGGTTGATTAAAAATGTGCTTTATAAATTAAATATTATACCACTTCATTTGTATGTTACACATTTTTAATTGAAATCCATTACATCAGCAAACAGTCTCCCATTGTCTAGAACTGATTTTTTTTTTATAAACAGCAGGCATAATACAATCTTCAAGGTTACAAAAGTACCTATTTTGTTGATTACGCTTTCACATGAATTCTAGTTTAATACAACAACTCTTCTTACATTAAAAATACTACTGTCTTTTACCCATGGCTTTTTTTTTTTTTTAAATATGCAACAACTTTGATGTTTGCGCACATTTCAAAAAAAAAAAAAAAAAAAAAAAACACAACAGAAAAACTTTTTTTTGAGGACGTATGACTTAATCATTAAAAAGTATTTTGTGAAGAAATATCCACTTTTTAGTCACAAAAGGTTTTAGATTTCTATTAATCGCACTTCTATGAGATTATATTACTTTCAAACAGCTTCAATATTTTTTTTCTTACTGCATATTGAAAAACACATTTACACTATTCTTCCTTGACTAACTGCTTTCACATTCACATATTGTATTTTTTTTTAATTTTACACTTCATATTTCTCAAATGTCAATGTCACAAAAAAAATAAAAATTACTATATGAATCAAACCACAACTGTTCACACACTGGCACACATTTATGGCACACATCTAATAATTTAAATAACACGTCTTGTACATAATGTTTTACAATAAAAATAAAATAAATAAAATACACGCAAACATTTTTTTTTTTTTTTACCAAGAACAGACGGTCATCATCTGTATTTCTTGGAAAAACTTCTTAAAACTTAAGCTACATTTTTTCCCCCAGTCTTTTTCAAATATTGCACATTGTTAAAAAGTCCCACTTAACGTTCAACACAACTCCAGTCAAACAATGAATCCAATCTAATAATTTACATAACACGTCTTGTACATGCAATGTTTTACAATAAAAATAAATAAAATACACGCTAAAAAAATTTTTTTTTACTAAGAACAGACTGTCATCATCTGTATTTCTTGGAAAAACTTCTTAAAACTTACGATGCATTTTTTCACAGTCTTTTTCAAATATTGCACATTGTTAAATAGTCCCACTTAACGTTCAACGCAACTCAAGTCAGTCAAACAATGAATCCAAATTGTCAAACTTATCCATTTCCCCATTAGAGACTGCTGCTGCTGCTTCATCACTCCCATCTTTAGGAGCATCTACAGCATCATCTTTCTTCACAAACAAAACCCTGGTGATAAACTCCCTCCACATTTCCACCTTTAGATCATCATGCACAAGCAGCTTTGCAGCTAATGCATGTGAATCCAGATTTTCCCATCCATTCAAATTTAAAAGTTCCCGAATTTCTGCATCATCCAAAGGAATTCTGCGCTGCACAAAATCCACAGTGATTCCTATGTGACCACGCATCTCAACTCTAGATTTCGAAGTCTTACAAAAAGAATCACATTTTGTGCAGCGGGTCATGTGTGTGGCAACATTAATGTTTTCCAACAGGTGGTGTTTTGGACAAAAATGGTCTACTTTGACTTCTGCCTTAACTATCTCTCCGACGACTGAAGTTACATCTTCCTCAACAAATTCTTTTGCGGGCCCAGAATTTTCAACCACACTTAAGCTAGTTTGCATCGTTGTACTTAATGATGTCATCCCCTTAAACACTCTTACAGACACATTCGTCAAAATATACCATTCACCTATTGTCATTACATGATCACCCCAAAGACTCAGCAAAATAAGGTCACTGCTGTCAGCCACAACAACACTCTTCCTGCGCAGTTTCTGTCCCCGCACCACACTTTCTTTGTCCTGCAGCATTCGTAACACTTTGACTTTCACAGTGACCTGAAAAACACAAAAAAAATTCACTCAATATTATACACACTTTCTGCCTTTAAAATTTTCTAGCATCATTTCAAAAGTGGAATCTCAGGTGCAATACACCGTAATTGGCAACAGTTACAAACACTTAAAACAAAATGAATCAATTGTATTCATCTCTACACAATATTCTACACTGTCTGATGTCAAGTTGCAAGTGAAAATCTATGTCTCTGACTGAGTTTGTATTACTGCTTATTTTGACCTCTGCTGGCTGAGAAAAGCTCATTTTCAACGTCCAATGCAGAATGTGACAACGTTTAAGCAAGTTGCAAGTGAAAATCTATGTCTCTGACTGAGTTTGCATTAGTGCTTATTTTGACCTCTGCTGGCTGAGAAAAGCTCATTTTCAATGTCCAATACAGAATGTGATAAAACCAGATCCAGCCACTAAAATGCATCATTCTTTTTGTTTTAGACAACATTTCATGCACTGTTAAACATGTTTAAGCAAGTTGCAAGTGAAAATCTATGTCTCTGACTGAGTTTGCATTACTGCTTATTTTGACCTCTGCTGGCTGAGAAAAGCTCATTTTCAACGTTCAATTCAGAAAGTGATAAAAACAGATCCAGCCACTATAAAGTATTTTCTTTTTGTTTTAGACAACATTTCATGCACTGTTAAACATGTTTAAGCAAGTTGCAAGTGAAAATCTATGTCTCTGACTGAGTTTGCATTACTGCTTATTTTGACCTCTGCTGGCTGAGAAAAGCTCATTTTCAACGTCCAATGCAGAATGTGATAAACCAGATCCAGCCACTAAAATGCATCATTCTTTTTGTTTTAGACAACATTTCATGCACTGTTAAACATGTTTAAGCAAGTTGCAAGTGTAAATCTATGTCTCTGACTGAGTTTGCATTACTGCTTATTTTTACCTCTGCTGGCTGAGAAAATTTCATTTTTAACGTCCAATACAGAATGTGATAAAACCAGATCCAGCCACTAAAATGCATCATTCTTTTTGTTTTAGACAACATTTCATGCACTGTTAAACATGTTAAAGCAAGTTGCAAGTGAAAATCTATGTCTCTGACTGAGTTTGCATTACTGCTTATTTTGACCTCTGCTGGCTGAGAAAAGCTCATTTTCAACGTCCAATACAGAATGTGATAAAACCAGATGCAGCCACTAAAATGCATCATTCTTTTTGTTTTAGACAACATTTCATGCACTGTTAAACATGTTAAAGCAAGTTGCAAGTGAAAATCTATGTCTCTGACTGAGTTTGCATTACTGCTTATTTTGACCTCTGCTGGCTGAGAAAAGCTCATTTTCAATGTTCAATTCAGAAAGTGATAAAAACAGATCCAGCCACTAAAAAGCATTTTCTTTTTGTTTTAGACATTTCATGCACTGTTAAACATGTTAAAGCAAGTTGCAAGTGAAAATCTATGTCTCTGACTGAGTTTGCATTACTGCTTATTTTGACCTCTGCTGGCTGAGAAAAGCTCATTTTCAACGTTCAATTCAGAAAGTGAAAAAAACAGATCCAGCCACTAAAAAGCATTTTCTTTATGTTTTAGACAACATTTCATGCACTGTTAAACATGTTAAAGCAAGTTGCAAGTGAAAATCTATGTCTCTGACTGAGTTTGCATTACTGCTTATTTTGACCTCTGCTGGCTGAGACAAGCTCATTTTCAACGTTCAATTCAGAAAGTGATAAAAACAGATCCAGCCACTAAAAAGCATTTTTTTTGTTTTAGACAACATTTCATGCACT